CACTGTTAGGTAAAAATTAAATATTGGACCCTAATAAGTGAGGCCTTGTGTTGTTGCCCATCTTGTACAGCCCAAAATCCGTCCATGTTCTTAATTTCTTTCTAGTCTGCAGTTTCTATGTACGTTTATATGCAGAGCTATGTGTAACACCCCGTGTTACGACCCCTAAAATCAATTAATCATTTAACCAATTATCCAAAGAAAGAATTAAATTACAATAATTAATTAGGAAAAGGCTCACCATAGTCCGTGGGCCCTCGCCTCTAAACCCAACCCCTAGTCCTAAAAGGAATAGAGTTAGCAAGCCTATAGTATTTGGGCCCTAATTAGGACTCTTAGATATATAAATAGGGGACATAGGAGGCACCTAGAACCCCCACCACAATAATCCCTCACCACACAAGGAGTTCCAAGAATTCCCCTAGGAGAAATCAAGAAAGAAGAAAGACTTAGAGAAAGACCCTTCATAGCCAAGGAAATCAATTAAGGCTAAGAGGTAACCCATGTCTCAACAAAACCTATTTTCTTAGCTATATCTCCATCTTAGGCATCCCCCCCTATATTCTTGTGTCTTGATGAATTGTTTATGATATTGATGATGTGATCTTGATAATTGGTGATATGGTTTTATCTTGATAATCTTGATGATGATAAGGGTTTCTTGATTGTGTGATATTCTTGGGGAATTCGGATTCTTGATGATTATGTGATATTCTTGATAAATTGTATTGGTTCCTGATGTTAAAGGATGAATTACGTTCTTGATGGTTTAAATATAATTAGAACCCTAGGATGTATCGTGAAATTCGTGTGGTGTTATTCTTGATATATTAGGTGGGAATTCGCATGTTTGGGCGTTAATTGTATTTAGGAAGCATGATAGGATACGTGCCATATGTTTCTTGCTTTTGATCCGTTAATTGTCTACGTGGTGTCATCGATTGCGTTAAAAGTGTCTAAGCATGGCTTCGGGTTCCACGATGGATCCCGGGGCGTTTTATTGTGAAAAGGAGTCAGTGGGGGTAGGTGGGGGTAGGGGACCCGCCACCTACCCGCGGCCGGAATTAGCGTCGCCGGCAGCCGCCTGCCCGCTGGGCACCCGCTGCCCGGAGACTCGTCGCCGGCGGATGACTCTTGACCCACCGGCTACCCGCTGGAAACTCCCCCACTTCGGGATCCCGGCTTCCCCGTTTGATGTTCCCCCGACCCCTGTGGTGTCCCAACTGACTCCGTCTATCGTGCCTATGTCTGGTTTGATGTTTCGGGTACCGTTCATCGGTTGGTTGCGATCGACCCCTTCGTGTTGCGATACGAGGTAGGGTGCTGCGGGGCCGTGTCAGAGCTATATGCGCTGACCCTCATGTATGGGCATGCGATTGGTCCTGTGGCGCCATCAAAGTGTGCTATGTGATGAGATATGGATGGTTTGAAGTTATGGATGTTATGATGTGAGAGCGTGACCATAGGATACATGCTAGTAAACCGTATATGCTTGGCTGTGCTTATCTCTATCTGTCGAAGTCTGTCCCCTATACTAGTGAATTGTATATGCTTGGTTATGATTGTTGACTATGCTTATCTCTGTCCGTCGAGTTTATTCCCTGTTTTAAAGCTAGAGTCTCTTAGGATATATCTTCATGCTTCGAAATGGTTTTTCTTATATCTATATATATGCCTATATGTATTGTATTTCAACGCGTTGGAGTGGGTTACCAGCATCTCTCGCTGAACAGATATATTTAGCTTTCAGGCACTGATGAGTAGACACTGGAGCGCGCTAGAGATCCGAAGCGTAGAGTAGATAGTTTCCCTTTCGGCCTGCGTGCCACACTTATGTATTGATATTGTTGAGGATTTTAGTTAGTGAGCCTATGCACCTGAGTTCTCCAGCTCAGGTGTGGCCTAGCACCCCGTACCCCTTTTATTATGCTTTGGGATTTAATGAGAATTTACCTTTGTTATATAAGTTTCAAAAGTTCAAAAATTTCGGGGTGTTACACTATGCTTTCTAGTTTAATTAATTTGCGCATTTCTTGAGTCTATGATGATGTCTTCGCCATCTTTTCCGACTTTCTAGGCTATCGGGCATTGAGATGACCGAGCCGTATCTTGGCGGGGCGACCAGGAAACTCCGGTTCTTTGCAGCCATGGTGGCGCTGGCTTCTCTCTTGGCCCAAGAACAAATACATATTTGATCCTCAAAGACGCCCAATGGGCTTTGAACCGATGACCTTTACATGAAGTTGGCGTTTTTGGTTTTCTTGGGATGGTATTCAATCAAGACTTTTAGAGAGAGGGAGAGATGAGATTTTCTTGAAGGGGTGATTGTCCCACTTTGTTTACTCAAGGATTTCTCCATTAACAGCCCTTTCATTTCGTTTTTGGGATCTTAAAATGGAACTATGGAAATATATGTTTAAAAAGGCTATGATGATATCTTCCTTCATCGGGCATTGAAGGTGGGTGGCTCTTTCGCTGGTAGTAAATGAAAGTGGGTTAAAGAGGGTAAATGAGAGACAATATTGTAATTACCAAATTGTCACTCTATTTAACATTAATTGGACGGAATAACAAACAAAGGACTACATTGAACAAAAACACAAAAGTCTAGGACTATATTGAGTCACCAATGTCGTTTAGTACGAAATCGGGTAAAACTATCATAGTCGAGCACCATTTTGGGTATTAACTCTAAAAGAATTTGTGGAAATTTAATTTAGGTTGGCTAATTGTACAAAAAAAAAGACAGCGTTTTTCCAAGCGAGAACTATTTGCTCTATTTTGTTTCCCAAGGCGTGTGGCTATTTTATAGTAGAAAATTATTATTATTATTATTATTATTATTATTATTATTATTATTATTATTATTTTTATTTTTATTATTATTATTATTATTTTAACTCTAAATAAATCTAAAATTTTAATATAGAGTATTAATATTAGACATCATTTTTGCGCATCATGCATAGAAAATACTAGTAGAAAGATAAGAGGGGAGGAGAATGGTTAGTGAGAGCATCCCCAATAGAAGGATTTTCAATGGTTTGAGCATCCCCGGGAGGATTTTCAATGATTTTTGCAATCTTTTTTGCCATGTGGAAGATAGGGAAGAGGTGAGAGAGAAGGTTTGGGTTGCTCTGCAAGAACTTTTTTTGTGGGTCCCACAGGAGAGAGAAACAACAGAAGAGAGGGCGTACTGGAAATCTCGCGTTTTCTGTTTTGCGTCAGATTTGCTTTTTCCTTAAGCACTGCAAAACATGATATATCGATCGGAATTGCTTTTGTTTTTTTTTCTTTTTTTTTTTTTTTTTTTTTTTTTTGCGTCAGATTTGCTTTTTCCTCTTTTTTTCATCTCTTTTTTTTTTTCTTTTATTTTCCTTTTCTTTGCTACATGGCATGCAAAAACTAATGCTAAAATCCAAATTATGAGGATGCTCTTAGGGCATCCTCAATAGTGAGAATTTTGGTGTAGTTTTCGAGGAATTTTTGGAGGTGTGATTAGGAAAGAAAAATGGGCGAAAGGAAAAATAGAAAAGGAAAATTAAAAAAAAAATCAAAATCAAAAATTGAAAAAAAGAATTAAAAAATTGAATTTACGCGCCCAGCACGGGCTCGAGAGTTGCACCTCACACGTGTGAGGCGCAGCTCTCTTCCCCAACAATTGGACCCACATTTATGACAAAATCTCAATTCTTGGAGGAGATACTCTTTCTCCTCTCTCCTCTCTCCTCCCTCCTCCCTCTTCCACCTTGTCATTTTTTTTCTAATGGTTGGGGAGAATTGGGGGATAATGTAAGAGTGATTAGGAGAGAGAATGTGGGAAGGGGAGGAAAAAAAATCAAAAAAACCAAAATCAAAAAACAAAAACAAAAAAAAAAAAAAAAAAAAACACAATGGTCAGGCGCGCCTCGGGCGCGTGCAGGTGTGGGCTGCTGCTGTGCGCAAAACGCGCACAGCAACCCATGTTTTTTTTTTTTCTTCTTCTTTTTTGCCATTATTCTAAACTTTGCAGATGAGTTCTTCCCAAATTTATTCTCCCCCACATTAGCTATAAACTTGAATTGAGTGAATTAATGCTGTATTCTCCCCACATTATTTACTGATGTGGATGCTTATTGGGTTGCTCTTAGTGATGTATTTAGGAAAATCAAATTAATTCAATAATATACTATTTTCACAAAAAAAAATAAAAAAAATCAATAATAGACTATTTCCCCCTACCTAAATCCAAAACCCAGCCACCTTTACTATATTCTCACTGCACATATTCCATGCGTGTCCATCACGTTCAAAGCTTCTATCTCTCAATACATATACAGACATACACAACAACATATAATTGTGCTCTGATGGGGTAAGACGCCTTATATACATCAATTAGAAATTATAAGTTATGGCATTGCATGATTTTCTCCTTTTCTCCACAAACCCCCTTACCTCATATTTGTTTTTATTATTATTATTATTATTATTATTATTATTATTATTATTATTATTATTATTATTATTATTGTTATTATTTAAAAAAAAAAAAAAAAAAAAAAAAAAGGAAAGAAATTTTGATCACGTGTAGCGTTGTAGGATAACACAAATCCGATATTTTATTTTGGATTTTTGAATTACCCGTTTGTGATTTTTTTTCCCCTTAAATCTGCATCTTAGATTCTCCATATTTCGATTCTCTGAGGGTATTGGGGTTTTTTTATCTAACCCCAGAGGTTAGTTCTTCATGGATTTTTTTTCTTTATGTTCCTGTTTATTTAGGAGAAAGTTTACTGTTAATTGTAATAATTTCCCTCAATATAACAACCTGATATGCCATCATTATGGTGCCATCTTGGTAGAAACTGGGGTTTCTGAAATTGTAACTGACTTAAATGATATTTACATTTTGATCAGATTTTGGTTAATTTCTGCAATTTTTGGCTTAAAACATGTTTTCCTATGTGAAATTGTTGATGATCCCATGCAACATGATTGGGTATAAAGTTTCTCCTTTAAGAAAATGTTGAAATTTAAGATAGATTGAATGAAGAGTAGCCCTATTGACTTGTGAAGAATGAAAACTTGAAAATTACCTTATTGTGTTTCAGTGGGGAGGAACAGGTAGAAAATATTGAAGAATTTTATGAACTACATTTTGGCCTACTTTATAACTACATTACATCTGTATTTTACATGTAGAATGGGATAACTGTTTCTTTTTTATAGTCCCAAATTTAAAATTTGCAAAGAAGTCTTCAAAACATCCTCATTTTTCTAGAAAGATGTTTTTGATTCTGTTACATTGTAGTATCCGTTCATACATACTTTCTCAACCTACTAAAGTAGAGTTATGAGCTTTGGAGGAATGGGAAGTACCCTAATCGAGTGGTTAGTGTTGGTTTAGCACTGATTCAGAAGAAATTGTATATTGTATTTGCTTCAATATTCAATGTTAGGTTTGAGGAGATGCTGAAATCCTTTTCCTTGCCCGGAATCTTACATGGTTTTTTTCGACGTTCTATGTAGCAGGGAGAAAAATGGAAGCAACTACTGTGACCACACCATTGAATCCTACATCAAATAAGCTCCCAGATTATAAGAAATCAGTGAAGTTGAAATATGTTAAGCTTGGCTATCATTACCTCATTAGTCATGGGGTGTACATTTTTCCTCTAATCGTTGCCGTGATTGCTGCACAAATATCGACAACTTCTCTGCAGGATTTGTATAATATATGGGATAATCTCCAGTATGACTTCATCTCTGTGATCCTCTGCTCGACCCTCCTAGTCTCTCTATTTACTATCTACTTCATAACTCGACCTTACCCAGTCTATCTCGTAGACTTCTCCTGCTACAAGCCTGAGGAAGCTCGAAGATGCACAATGAAGATTTTCATGGAGCGGTCTCGATTAACTGGTTCATTTACTGAGGAAAATCTTGAGTTTCAGAAGAAAATCCTGCAAAGATCTGGCCTCGGCGACAACACTTACCTTCCAGAGGCTGTCCTCAAAGTTCCTCCGAATCCATCAATTTCTGAAGCTAGAAAAGAGGCTGAGCTTGTGATGTTTGGGGCCATCGATGAGCTATTGGCTAAGACTAAAGTGAAACCCAAAGACATAGGAATCTTGATTGTCAACTGTAGCTTGTTCAATCCAACCCCGTCTTTGTCTGCAATGGTCATCAAACATTACAAGCTTCGGGGAAACATAGCCAGCTATAATTTAGGTGGCATGGGCTGTAGTGCTGGTTTAATCTCCATTGATCTTGCTAAAAAGCTCCTTCAGGTTCATCCAAGTTCATATGCCTTAGTTGTTAGCATGGAGAACATCACTTTGAACTGGTATTTTGGGAACGATAGATCAAAACTTGTTTCAAATTGTTTGTTTAGAATGGGAGGAGTCGCCATACTGCTTTCAAACAAATTTACTGAGAGAAGGCGGTCAAAGTACAGATTGGTGCACACTGTTCGCACACACAAGGGGTCTGATGACAAGTGCTTCGCTTGTGTAACCCAAGAAGCGGATGCCAATGGGAGCGTAGGAGTTACTTTGTCGAAGGAGCTCATGGGAGTTGCTGGTGAAGCGTTGAAGACTAACATAACTACTCTGGGGCCTCTCATACTACCAGTTTCCGAGCAGTTGCTCTTCTTCGCAACGCTGATAGGGAGAAAACTGTTGAAGATGAAGCTGAAGCCCTACATACCCGATTTTAAACTAGCTTTCGAGCATTTCTGCATCCATGCTGGTGGAAGGGCTGTTTTGGATGAAATAGAGAAAAACTTGCAGCTTTCTGAATGGCACATGGAACCGTCAAGAATGACACTGTACCGTTTTGGCAACACCTCAAGCAGCTCTTTGTGGTATGAATTGGCTTATTCAGAAGCAAAAGGGCGAGTGAGAAGAGGCGATCGAGTATGGCAAATAGCATTCGGGTCAGGGTTCAAGTGTAACAGTGCTGTGTGGAAAGCAATGAAGAGCATAAAGCCAGATAAGGAGAAGAACCCATGGATAGCTGAGATTGAGCAATTCCCTGTGGAGGTTCCTAAGGTAGCAAACATCTAACTCCAAATAAGAGTAGTTGTGCATTTATCTGCAGATTTGTGCCAGTAAAGATCACCTCACCATTTTGGATTATGAACTTCTTGTTGGTGAAACTTCAGCTTTTCTTTTCATTTTGTTACTTGGACATGATGTATATTACAAAAGAGAAGTAACTTTTGATGGTTGGTTAAAATTCTACATTAATAGCATGATTTTTGCACTACAGATTTGAGATTTCCAGAGTTTCTTTGCCTTTTTCTCTGCTTATCCCAAATCCCAATTACTGAGCAAGCATTCATATATAAAGATTGCTTAATTTAACTGGAGTTTTTGCAATCTCATCAAATTCCTTTTTTCTCACGACTGAGACAAACTAGAACCTATTTTATATATAAATTTAGATTATAGAATTTTATCAAAATCAACAGAAAAAAATAATAATAATAATGGATACAATTCTCTAGAAAGATCCTCAAAAAGGCAAGACAAGGCCCCCACCATGGCACCAAATTTTGTGATGAATACGTAATCAAAATTAGATTATAAAAAATAATATCATTTATAAAAGTAGATAATTGCAATTAAACTATAAATATGATACTCCCTGTCTCATCTTATTTATCATGCTTACTATTTATCGATTAAACCAATTCTTTTTTCTTTATTTATTTTTTTTGATATTTTAAATTGTTTTTAAATTTAATTTTGTATTTGATAGTACTTTTAGTATAGTTTCTAAAAATATAAATTTTATATACTTCTTCTCAAAAAATAAATTTTATATACTAATACTAAACTTAACATTATGAAAAATTAAATTAAAAATAAGTTCAGTCAAGTATCGTTGATCGAACCAGACACATAAAATTAGGCAAAGGAAGTAATATAATTTTAAAAGAGTATAAAATGCTCATAACAACGTATCTTATTATTATTCATTCAATTTCGAAAAGGAACACTTCTAATAATAGTTGGTTGAGCTCCCATCGTTATACCTTGGACCAAAGTCTAAAAACGGCACCGTTTCTTTAAGTAAAGAAACGGTTGTCGTTACATTTTAATAGAGCCTGTTTTTTTTTTTTTTTTTTTTTGTTCATAACAAAATGAAATTACAGTATATCTAAAATGAAACGGTCTCGCATATTGAACTGTAATTGAATCGAAATGATACTTTAATTGTGTTGAAATTAAATTGTAGTATGTATAAAATGAAACTGAATAATATATCTCACATATTGAGTGTATATTGTCAAATAGAACTGTAGTTGAATAGAAATGATACTGTAGTTGTGTTGTAACGAAACTACATTGTATATAAAATGAAACTGAATAACAGTTTCACATATTAGAGTGTATATTGTCCAATGAAATTGTAGTTATATCGAAATGATATTGTAGTTGTGTTGTAATGAAACTACAGTATGTATAAAATGAAACTGAATAACAATTTCACATATTTTGGTGTATATTGTCTAATGAAACTGTAGTTATATCGAAATGATACTATAGTTGTGTTGTAATGAAACTACAGTCTATATAAAATGAAACTGAATAACAGTTTCACATATTTGAGTGTATATTGTTCAATGAAACTGTAGTTATATCAAAATGATACTGCAGTTGTGTTGTAATAAAACTACAATGTATATATAAAATGAAACTGAAACAGTTTAATATATTTGGGTGTATATTGTCCAATGAAACCGTAGTTGAAAAATAAGAACCTCCGTAAAGAACAATCTTATCTGAGAGGTCGTAGGGACCCTGCCTCGTTGGCTGAGTTTCAGCGTATTGAGGCACAGTTGTGCCGTATTGAAGCCTAAGAGGATGCTTTTTGGAGGCAAAGAGCCAAGCAGCACTGACTGAAGGGTGCAAACGCCAACACTAAATTCTTCCACAGGTATGCATCTGACCGTAGGAAGAAAAATACACTCTCTAGGCTCTAAATTCTTCCACAGGTATGCATCTAACCGTAGGAAGAAAAATGCACTCTCTAGGCTTAAGAATGATTCTGGGGACTGGGTAGAAGGAGATGCAATGAAGAATGTTATTTTGAATTACGTGATAATATATTCCATTCTTTTTTTTTTTTTTTGAATACTATTAACTCTATTACAATGCAGTATCTGTTCATAAGTACTTACTTTTTTTTGTTGGGAGAGACATGTCAATGGTCAAACCCATCTTCGGTCTCTACCCTTGGTGGTTGACCTCTTCACTAACAAATAAAATAAACTTTCAAAAAGAGGTGGTTAAATGTGTAAAATATTATTTTTATAATAATGTGTATCTGTTCATAACTACTTTGTCAACCTACTGAAGCACAGAGAGTCAATAGCACCTCCATTGAAGCTCGAACCCACAACCTCCCATGTGGTAGTTCAACTTGGTGCAATTGAACCACAAGGTCCTTGGCATAATATATTCCATTCTAGCAGCCCCAGTGTTGGTGTAACACTCCGTGTTACGGCTTCTAACCCAAACTAATTATTTAATTACTTATCCTTAAAAGAGAATTAAATTCCCTTAATTAATTAGGAAGGGTCCACCAAAGACCATGGACCCTTATCCCTAAACCAAACCCTTAGTCCTATAAGAAATAGAATTAGTGAACCCATACCATTTAGACCCAAACTAGGACTCTTAGATATATATAAGGACATAAGAGGCACCTAGAACTCACACCACAATAGCTTTCACCACACAAGAATTCCCGAGAATTCCCCTAGGAGAAATCAAGAAGAGGAGATCTTAGAGAAAGAACCTTTATAGCCAAGGATTCTAATTAAGGCTAAGAGGTAACCCATGTCTCAACAAAACCTATTTTCCTTGCTATAATCTTCTTCTTTGGCTTCTTTTGATATACAATTCTATGCTTGTGTCTTGATAAATCTTTTATGATGATTGTGATATGATCTTGATGTTGATGAAATGATCTTATGTGGTGATCTTGATAATCTTGATAATTATAAGCGGATCTTGATAATCATGTGTTGATTCTTGATAACACTTAATGTTCTTGATTTTAAATATAAAGTATGATTTTGTGATTTAAATATGATTAGAGCCCTAGGTTGAATCGTGAATTTCGTATTGTGATAATCTTGGTATATTTGGGTGGGAATTTGCATGTTCGGGTGTTGATTATGTTTAGAAGTCATGTTAGGACATGTTCAATGTGATTCTTAGTTTTGATCCGTTACTTGACTACGTGGTGTCGTCATTTGTGTTTAAAAGTGTCTAAACATGGTTTCGGGTTCCACAAAAGATCCCGGGGACCCAAATATTGAAAAAGAGTCAGTGGGGGTAGTGGAACCCGCAACCTACCCACTGCCCCTAAAGGGCGTCGTCGGCAGCGGGCGGGCGACTGCCCGCCTGGCACCCGCTGCAGCATCTCGCCGCCGGCAGGTGGTCTTCCACCCGCCGGCCACCCGCTGGAAATTCCCAAGTGGGAAGGTGGTTTTCCCCGTTTGATGTTTCCCCGACCCTCGTGGTGTCCCAACGCACTCCGTTTGTCGTGCCTGAGTCTACTTTGATGTTTCGGGTACCATTCGTAGGATAAAAGAGTCTTGGGTATTGCATGCTAGTTGAATTGGTATCCCGTTGGCCTAGGTGAAAGATGTATGAACCCCTTAGGAATATTCCTAATATGTGGATGACCACGCATAAGTTTATTTATACGTTTTCTCCCCCTTCCCAATGTGCTAATGTGGGTTGCATGTGCTTGCTATGTGTTATGTGTGCATGATATCCCAATTTGGTTGCGATCAAATTGGCTATACGGGCAGTTGGATGGGTTAAGAACCATACCAATTGTTAACCAGGCCGGTTGCGATTGGTCAGGTATATAAATATTATATAGGGCTGCGGTCCACCGTTTTGTTGCAATGTTGCAATCAAACGTTTTACATGAGCTGCGGTTCATAATCTGGTTGCGATCAGAAATACACTTTTGGGCTGCGGTCCACCGTTTGGTTGCGATCAAACGTTATGATGAGCTGCGGTTCATCGGTTGGTTGCGATCAACCACTTCGTGTTGCGATACGAGGCAGGGTGCTGCGAGGCCGTGTTAGCGTTATATGCGCTGACCCTCATGTATGCGCATGCGACTGGTCCTGTGGCGCCACCAAAATGTGCTTATGTGTTGAGATAATGATTGAGTAATGATGTAAATGATGTGACCTTAGGATATATGCTAGTATCTTTATATGCATGATTATAACTGTTGAATGTGCTTGTCCCTATTTGTTGAGTCTATTCTTGGTTTTAAAGCTAGAGTCTCCTAAGTATATATCTTCCGGCTTCAAAATGGTTTTCCTATATATATATATATATATATATATATATATATATATATATATATATATATATATATATACCTATATTGTATTTTAACGCGTTGGAGTGGGTTACCAGCATTATTCGCTGAATAGATATATTTGGGTTTCAGGCACAGATGAGTCAGCTCCGGAGCGCGCTAGAGGACCGAGGCTTAGATAGATAGTTTTTCTTTCGGCCTGCGTGCCATAATGATGTATTGACATTGCTTTTAGGATATTTAGTTAGTATAGCCTGTGCATCTGAGTTTTCCAGCTCAGATGTGGCATAGCACCCCAAACTCTTATGTTTAGTATGCTCTGTTTCGGGATTTAATAATAGATTTACCTTCCTATTATAAGTTTTAAAAGTTTTAAATTTTAGGGGTGTTACAATTGGTATCAGAGCCTAAGTTTGACCCCAGGATAAGACTCTTAAGACAAGACTTTATGACATTAAGCTTGAACTCTAGGTATTTAGGAACATAGGACCCATGAATCTTAGGACGCGCGGTGAGATTGTGAGCCTACCTATCATTACATAACTTCCCCTCACTCTATTCTACATTTAATTTAAAGAACTTCCCCTCCCCCCCCCCCCCCCACCCCATGCTTATCACATCAAGGTAAGGGTGCAGCACACTAACTCATCATTACAATAAACATTGGCCCTGTAGACCATCAGCATGGCACCAAACAGAAGACAATCAAGGACCCCCGAACCCACCACTCACGACCCTCTGGCTCAGACTCTATAGCAACTAACTCAGGTCGCCCAGACAGTGAGCGACGTAGTTCTCCGTAACAACAACCAACCACCACCACCGCCAAACGGGAACTCGGATGTCACTCGGAAAGTCTCAAATCATCGGCCACCCATTTTCTCGGGAGAAGAGGACCCTGCATTCCTCGAAGAATGGATCCGAACCT